CGAGGAAAAAAACCCTGAAATATCTATATATGGAAAGGGCATATTACATCAATTGCTCATTCCATTGATGGCGTGAAGTTCTTTTCAAGCTATACATGACAAATCTAACTTTTGCACTCAAAAGGATGCCAGATCATAAAGCAACACACAGAGTTAAAATGCCACAATGATAACGGTGGGGAAAATGTATCAGCCATATTAGCACTGGCACAAACGATGATGATAATGTAAGTCAGCGTCAGCCATACCTCAAAATAAAGTGTTTGCCACCCATAACAGATTGTTGACATTTCAGGATTTATGATTGCGGATTTCTAGGGTGGCGCAAGCGGCGTGTGAGAGGTGCGCTTAGCCATAGCACGACTGACAACCCTTGGAACAATTTTAATACTTCTCCATGCCATGTGAATAGAGAGGTTTTCGATCTGTCGAATCGCGCGTGCCGCAGGCGGTTCATTTACATATTTGGACACTCCTTCACGCCAACGCAGCGAGACAGTGAGCAGCAGAGGTAGAACTACTGGTGCGGTGAGCAAGACAAACGGTTGGGGGTTTTTTTAATATATAGAGTCTATATCATAAGTGACGTCTTCTAACCACTGTGGGGACAGGGCTTGGCACGATACGACACACTCACAATTTTGCGGGTGAACCACGTGGCCCCTTCCTCGCTGATTCTCACGCTTGCGGACTCGTGCTCAAAAGACAGGGCCAGGGGTGCACTTTTGAGGAAACACAGGTGCTAATTTATTGCCCTGTCACTTTTACGTATAAAACGCAGGCCGCTTTGCTCGAACATTTAGAATAGAGAACTGAGAGCTCAAAGATACATTCCAGTCTTGAAACAGAAACAGGTACGTCTGTTTTATAGACTCGTTTCATTGTTGTTGCTTTTTTGTGCGTTCGCCTTTTCATAAATTATGATGTCACATCTGTTGTATTTTGTGTCCATTCAAACATGTTTTTCAGTGCCCATATTATTCTCTTGAGTATCCAAAATAAAACTTCCCCGGCTTCGACTTCCATCCCTTGCACCCACTTTATTATTTTCTGGTGTGAGATGTCAAAGTAATTTTTCGAAAAACAGGTATCTTATACTATCAAACATGGTATTGTATGCTATCAGACATGGTATGTTATTCTATCAAACATGCTTACATGGCTTCCAGTAACCTAACACCATTCCCAATTTAATTCCCGTCAAGGATTTTTATTTGCTGGTTGGTTTGTTATTTTTATGAGTTTTTACGGCGCTCGCATCTGCATAAGGTGACATGGGCGCGCGGGACACATTAAACATTTTCAGTTGGGTAGGAACTTTTAATTTAGCCTGATAGCGGCGGAAGCCTACTTTCATCCATTTTAAGACCACCAACAGATCTTTAACCTGCGCAACTTGCACACGGACCTTCCGAGATTTTTTGCCATTATCCAAGAAGGCAAGGTGTAGATCTTTCTTCCATAAGATCAGGGATGAGCTTGAAAGACAGCAGTAAGAATGAGCCAAGGAGAAGCATTAGAAAAGATTCAGGAAAAGTCGGGAGCCCAGAGGAGGGGACAAAGGGGAGGGAGGATAGGACTCATAGTAGAGACAAAAGCAGATGACAGAACATAGAGAGCTGAAAACGAGGTGAAAAAATGAGAAAATTTTAGAGAAGAAAAAATAATATGTCACTTCGCTGTCTGGTTTCGTACGCAAGACCTATTGAATGAGAGGCAAACACCACAACTTCTAGATCACGAGAACCACCCACCAGGGTTTGCCAGAGTGTAGTGAGTTGACAGAGGTCGCTTATACGTGAGTGACGTTTCGGAATAACGACTCTATTTTTAAAAATATGGAAAAAATTCGTCCGGGGAACAGCGACTGCGCTGAGCGAATACATCATCTTGACATCTTGATGGTATTGATCATGGTATCGTTGCGCCCGCTGACGGTAAAATTTCGTTTACAAACTTATGGAATGCTTCGTTCCATCGTAAAAAGAATACCAAATTCGGAACCAGCGTATCAGGGGCGGCTCGTGGGGCTAAAAAAATGGACGCGCACTATTAAGCTATCGCATGCTGAAGACAGTCAAGGGCATAGTAAATGAGACGGTGTATAATTTTAGAATCTTTGGGTTGGTGAGGAAGGACCTCGTGCTTTTATTTTCATTCTTTTTACTTGTCGCTTTGATTTCTAGTGCTAAATTTGTTTGTTAGCTAAACATCAATTTCGTTCATCCTGTATTAGAACTGAACACCCAAGTACTAACTTTCACCACTCCACTACAAAACCATTCAAAGGCACAACTCATAGGACGGTCACGTTCACCTCCCTCAGGTTCACGGTCACAGAGTCACTTAAAATAGTGGCAAGACAGACAATGAACCAATCACAATTCACTTGAGCACTCCGCTGGATTGCTCCAGGGCTTACATAATATTGGCAAAGAATAGCGTACGTTCTATCGTGTTTATTTTTAGACTGCCTTCGGTGGGCTATGTTGCGGCACTGTTCGGCAGGAGCACATTTGGGATGTGCCGTCTTATTAATATTAATGTACCGCCAAACTCGCTACGAGTGTCGTCATTGCTTGGGTTATCCCCAAGAGCGATTTATAGGTCAGGTTACACTGTCGAATATCCTATTATGTTTAGCTAAGGCGCGTGGACTTTGGCATGGCATAGTAGATGTTTTACGGCTCTATAGAAACAGAAATGACAGTGATGGCGCCAGTGAGGACCTTGTTTTGATATAATATTTTGCTAGTGTTTGTTTCTGGCTTGTTTTATTTTAGTGTTGTGGGTGTTTTACGAAATAGAACTTTAAAACATTTTTGGTGGCACTGAACGACCGTGCTCAATGGACGAACCGCGCATGCAGCGTATAGCAGAGGAAAGGAGAGGACTGGAGAAAATTTTAGTGAAGAAAAATTGTCCGTCGCTATCAGGTTTCGAACCCAAGACTTATTTTGCGAGAGCCACCAATCAGGGTTTGCCAGAGTGTAGTCAGTTGAGAGAGGTCGCTTATACATGAGTAATGGTTATACTTGTTCGCCGCTCTGTGCACGGAAACTGATAGCTATCTCCACACGTTTCTGTGCCGGAGAACTAAATAGAGATTCTATATATTGGACTTTCGTCTACTGTTTAACATCGTTAACGTTTCCATTTACAACAGTTTATTTTTACAAGGTAAACTTTCATTCTGTAATTTTCATGTCTATAACACCTGAAGGAATGACGTAATTTTGCTCTGATACTCTCCAAAAAAAGCCACATTTTATCGTGATTTGTCTCTTCATCCAACTGTTATGGCTCCACAGTTAGGTTGACCTTTGTCCATCCCTGCTTCGTGGGCCTTCAATTCTGCTAGATGCTCAAGGCTTTCATGTAGCCTTGTCAAATGTCAAAGAAGCAGCAAATTTTGTCTTTTCTTGTTTGTTTTTGTTTTTTGTTTTCTTGTTTGTTTGTTTTTGTTTTTAAATCAGTGAGCTGCCCACGTGGGTTTCTTCAAGCACAAACTTATTTGATTTCTTTTTAATAGAGAGTATCATTATCATTATCCGGTGCTTTGCCGACTGGCGTGAGCGATCATGGACATGCATAGATAGTGAATGCAAACAGATCAAGATGTAGTCTAGTGACTGCTGTGTTAAAGTATGTCACAAGATCCATTTAACACATAGAGCAAAACAATTCTAAGAGAAAAAAGCAACGTCCAGGACTCAAGGAAAACAGAGAACATCTTATCCACGACATGTTTTACTTATTGCACAGTATCTTGCAGATTCTGAAAAAAAATCTTCATTTGCTTCTTGTTGCTGTTATGACTGAAAGTGAGCATAAAATGCTTTTCGTTTAAAGGCGACAAAAAGTTTTGGTAATATCTGAAGACAACAGTAAATATTAATTGTTTTTTCATTCTATCAGCAAAAAATGGAAAGAACAAGCAAGTTGAAGAGTTTAAATACCAAGGCAGAATGACATATAATCTGATGACAAAAGTGAAACAGGAAAAAATTGCAATAATGGCCAAAAATAGTTTCAATAAAACTATTCCAATATTGATGAAAAGAAACATCTTTATCTTAATAACATCAAAGGAATACAGGATAATCACCAAAGATATGAAGATTATGAAAATGACTAAAGGCAACAAAAAAATTAAGCAAATTTTTAGAAGACTGAAAAAAAACCCACCACACAAAAGAGGTAGGTACAGACCATTAACAACCAACATAAAGAACTGAACAGATGAGTGACGGGATATGAGCAGGGTAGTCTGGGTTCTTTGAGTGTCTTCTCATTTGTTTTGTTTATTCAGTTAGTTGTCAACATCTGCTTCAGAGCTGGCCCTAAAGGAAGACTCACAGGAAGCAGTTTTGTTTAAGATAATAATATGTTTCCAGTGCTCGAAGTAAGAATAAATAATGTTCTTATAAAGTTCAGAAAGAAAAAAATTATGCTCTCTTTATTCCTCTCACTAAAATACAAAATATTTACTTTGATCTGGGTACGCCTTCTTGGGAGTAAAGCACAAAATGAAATTATTAATTTTTATTTTTTTATTTATTAGGTTCCCAGTCACCCTCGGGTGCAGACGAGTGTTATTCTCTCCTCCATAAAATGTTCATACTTTTTTTAACAAACTAGCTTCCTTTTGTTCTATCTATCTATCTATCTATCTATCTATCTATCTATCTATCTATCTATCTATCTCTCTGAATCTATCTATCTAATCTACCTATCTATCTGTTCATCTATCTACCCATCTATCTATCTAACTGTCTATTTATCTATGTATCTATTTATCTATGTAGCTGTCTACCTGTCTGCCTGTCTTTTAGAAAGCCTATCTGGCTTCCTCTCTGGCAAACATGTACCCGAATGCACACACACACACACACACACACACACACACACACACACACACACACACACACACACACACACACACAAACACACACATGCTTACAAAAGCAAATTCAATTATTCTCTGTGCTCCCCATGTATGTCTTTCCAGATCCACGCTCTTGCGATCTAACAAATGAATCCTTTGTTTGAAAACCAATATAACATCAGTCGTATTTTGGTTATATAAAAAAGGGCATAGACCTTTTTTTAAAATTAAACACGAAAAACAGGTAGGGGGTGACATCGAACGTTAGAATTTTGTTTTATACGAAGGTCTGCTCATTAAATAAAGACAGTAGTTTAGTAATGAAATTGTATTCTCGATAGACCACCTTTTTCGATTCTTTGATGGACGTTGTCCTCAACAAACTCAAGTAAAAGAGAAACTGTCTTCGTGGAAGAGAACATTTCTCTCCCTCTCTCTCTCTCTCTCTCTCTCTCTCTCTCTCTCTCTCTCTCTCTCTCTCTCTCTCTCTCTCTATCTATCTATCTATCTATCTATCTATCTATCTATCTATCTATATATCTATCTATCTCTCTTTCTCTCTCTCTCTATCTATCTATCTATCTATCTATCTATCTCTCTTTCTCTCTATCTATCTATCTATTTCTATCTCTCATTTTCACTGGTCGGCTCGTGCATGCCTACGTTCTAAAGTGGGTAGGCGGCTGCAACTTGCCGTGCGCATACTGCTATATTGTTATCTTTTCTCATGATTCTGTCTTCTATCCGTTCTCAAAAGTTCGGGGTGTTTTTGTTTTCTTTCTAGTTGTTGTTTTGTTGTTGTTGTTTTTTTGTTAATTTTCATGCTGTGGGTAGCAACTGTTCTTTTTATATTTTTGTATTCCAATCTGTTCGAAAGGTTGTTTTGAGAAGAATCTAAAAACAAAACAAAAAAGGCAATAGTTTGCCATTTGTGTGTTAACACAACAGAGACTAATAAGAATAGTG